TCCTAGGATGCACAACCTACTCTTGCCTGAAGCTGCATTGGTCCAGTATTTGAATGTACATGGAACACCACTATGAGTTTAAACTGCTGTATGTGGTTTAAAAAAAAATTTTAAATCACACTAAATATTTATTATATTGATACTAATGATGAGGGTAATGATAAAGCTTAGGGTGGTGGGAATGAGGAAGAAAGAACAAGTAAATAATTAAAGCTACCAAAATATTTCTGCAATCATTATGAAAATGATAATACTAGGAATAGGTTTAGGGAAGGACAATTAAAGGAGGTCTACTCCACCTCAGCCCCATCATGGTTGGGGGAAGACACACAACATTTTATGGCACATATAGTTGGCCTGGAATGGCAATCTCAGACTTTAATTTTTTTAATAAATATTTTTTTCTTCAACTTTTTAATTTTAAAAAGAATAGACACCTCAGGTAGGCTTCCCTCATCCCCACCCCCTTTCCCAATTGAATAATTTGTTCGTTTATTTATCTAGATAAAAATTCTGGATTTGTATCAGAAAATGGTATTGAAGTCATTGAACTAAATGATGTAAGGTAGAAGTGTAACAGGAACTTAATTATATAAATAATAACTATTGGTTAATTTCCCATCGATTTATAATCAAATGGTACTGGGGTGGGACTACTTGATTTCCTGCTCCACAAGTCATCCATTCATAGAAACCTTTATGAAGAAAGCCTACCTAAAATGGTCTACATTGGTACAACACTCCAACTTTGAATATAGGAAGATTGAAATGTATTAATAGAGTATACAATGTACACAGTGTTCCTTTGAAAATTGATGTTAAGTATATGTTAGTAAAATAATGTAGGTCATATTATTATTTGTTTTTAACTATTTCAGATATAATTATCAAAACTTCACTAATGGAAATGCAAAAAGAACTGTATCAGAATGAGAATCGCATGACACCAGCAAACTGGCATGAATATCATAAAGTAGATATTGCAAAAGTTTTTACTGAACTCGCGTTGCTACAAGATAATAAAGAAGACAAAGATAAGTCAACAATCATAAAAAAGAAAGGTAGACCCACATCATTAACAGAGGCATTAGGTGTTATTAAATCAACAGATTCTTGTAAGGTATTAATAACAGGGAAGGGAGGAATGGGCAAGACTACCCTCCTTAAATATATTGCTCATCAGTGGGCTACCGATGATGAACATGTCTTTGCTGATAAATTACTGTTTCTGATAAATATCAGGGAAATTAAAACAAGTAAAACGTTCTTGGACATAATATTGAACAAAATTGATTGCAAAGCAATAATATTGAAGAACAATTTGTCATCTTATTCAGTTGAAAGGTTCTTGGTCATACATGATGATAAAATAGTATTTTTGTTAGATGGATATGATGAGTTAGAAAGAAATTCGAAGGACCCAATAGATCTTTTCAATAGAAGTGAATTTCAAAAAAGCATGGTGGTGATAACATCTCGACCAGACAACACAGCTGATTTGGTTGAATGCTGTGATGTACATATTGAAGTAAAAGGATTCAGTCCAAGTAACATAAAGAAGTATATTCAAAATTATTTTCATTCAATCAGTGAAATCAAAATTGGCGATTCTTTAATAAAAGAGTTTGGACTGGATTCAGAGCGCCCAAGGTATTGGGATCGTAATCACAAAGAAGCATTTAAATTGTGCTCATCTCCACTGTTATTGCTTAACATTTGTACAATATGGGAAGTAAAACGTGTTCTTCCCACATACTTGCCCGATCTTTTTAAGGAACTCATTTGTTGTATTTTAAATCAATACCTAAACAGGCCTGGCAATAAAACTGCTATTGCCAATTTTGAGAGAATTCCTGATAAATATATATCTGCCTTTTTAGTTTTAGGAGAATGTATGTATACAGGACTAAAGAAAAATATACTGTCTATTGACAAATACGATTTGTCAAAGATGGCAAAAAATGAAGAATTATTAAATTTAGCACTGGAATTCGGGTTTGTTTATGAAGATACCCCTGTTAATCCAGGTGATGTAAGGGAGATGTACACACCACCACATAAATTAATGTCAGAGGCATTAGCAGGGCTGTACCTGTCTACAGAAATTCAGAAAGGGAGTTCAAAGGTTGAGTATGAGGAAATAAGATGTAATTATTATTTAAATATGACAAGGGTGTTTGCAATAGGATTTTTAGGTGCTGATGCTGATAAGTTACTGAAACCATGGTTGATAGTCAGGGCCTCACATTATCGCTCAATAATACAATGTTTAGCACATGTAAAGAAAGAGCATGAAGATGATATTCTACTGAAATTGGATAACCACATGACCAACGATATGAAAGCACATAATAAGCAAATGTTAGAAACATTTAAAAGTCTTCTAAATGATGACTTAGCATGTAGTCGACAAATGTTGGAGTCATCTAGAAGTCTTGATGACTTGTTATCATGTATTCATTTATTAAAATTCCTAAAGATGACCATGGAAAATCCTTTATACAGGTATGCGTTTCATGATATTCAAGAACAAATAGTATTTTTGATAAATAGGTGCAGGGAAAGGCGGTGCAAAATTGTTGCACATACCTTGTTGTTACTTGAAATATTAGAAGACTATATTTATCCATACTATTTACTTAAATGTATTTCAACATGGGATAAGGAAGAAATCAATTTACTTTCAGCAGAGATGGAAAAACATCATTTAAAATATGATATTTCTAAAACTAAGATTTATTTTAAAATGTGTTCAACATTCTTGATTCATCTCCTTAAATATGCAAGTGACTTAGAAGAATTGTATATAGAAAATATAGTATGCAATAGCCACACATTGGTCACAGGTGCTATACTCAATGAAGTTATTAATGATTTGGACAATGCCAATATAAAGTTAGAATTAAAAATACTTTATATTAGTGGCAATGATCTAAATGATATTGATGGAACATTACTGGGAAAATTATTTAAAATAACTCCTAAATTAAAATATCTAGATGTAAGAAAGTGTAGGCTATCAGGTGGTACTTTGAGGGCAATGATCACAGAATGCCAGAACAGTGAAGATACAGTATGCAATAGCCACACATTGGTCACAGGTACTATACTCAATGCAGTTATTAATGATTTGGACAATGCCAATATAAAGTTAGAATTAGAAAACCTTGATATTCAAGGCAATGATCTAAATGATATTGATGGAACATTACTGGGAAAATTATTTAAAATAGCTCCTAAATTAAAA